TGAAGGGTGGGTCCTGGCTTCCCTGGCTCAGCCCTGACTCTCTTAGCTCCTGGAGACCCAGAGCCTCAGTCCTGCTCTCAGCTCCCAGGAGCTCCTGGCTCAGGGACCTACTCCTCGCCCGAGTCCATCTCCATCCACCATGACCACGTCGGAGAAAGTGTCCTTCCTGTGACAAACACCGCCCAGCAGTGCCTGTGTGCCTGGCACTGTGGACACAGAAGTGAGCACAGTGTGTGGTTCCTTCCCTCTCACAGTGCTAACATCCCAGGGAAGGAGATGGGAACACGCTAATATGTACTTGGAGAAAAAGCAAGGAAGGGGCTAAGAAATGCCAGAGGAAGGTAAAAGTTCACAGTGAGTACTCTGGGAAGATGTTGATGAGGGTGACTGATGGAAGTGATGGGGGCCTTGGCGCTCTAGAAAAAGGGCTCCAGGCAGAAGGCACAGCATGTGCAAAGACCTTGAGGCAGAACATGTATCAGGGTACTGGCTGAGAGCACAGACAGAGCAGAATGCAAAGATCAGGGAGGAGCTGGGGCTACATGTACAGGAGTGACAGGGTCTGGTGACATTTGACAAGATTGTTGGTTACTGTGCAGTGGGAAGCAGGGAAGCAGATTATATAAGGACACTCTGATCACCAAGATGAGGGCTGGCTGTGGGGAGAAAGTGGGTGGGTTCTGGACATGACTCCAAGGTCAGGTTGATGGGATTTGCTAATGGACATGAGGCAGAGTAGCTTGGGGACTGAGTGTCTGGGAAAATGACACTGCCTTTGCAGATTACTCATCTTTCTTCCCTCCTCCAAGAGACGCCTCTTTTGCCCTCTTCCCACTTTGATGCCACTCAAAGGCACTGAGCAGGTGTGGTGATGCAGTCTGTGCGCCTGTCTCAGATACTTTCTAACCTTTCCACCACCACCCCTCAGGGAAGCAGGTTGAGTTCCGGGTTGGGCTTAAGAGTGGGTCACCCGAAGAGTTTATTCTTCATGCCTACCCAAAAGGCTTTAACTTATTACAACTTCTTAAATTAAAAACTCAATCAATTGGCCCTCCAATAATAACCTAGAGGCCGTAAGTATTTCCAAAAGCATAATTTGACATCCTTTTAACTCTGGAGTTCACAGTCAGAGGGGGTGAGGCAGAGCAGGTCTTTAAGCTGAAAAACATGCTGTATTTCTAGACTCCAAAGGCCAGAAAGGAATGGATTTGCAAAAGGGTGTTAGGGAAGAAAATAATCTTTAAATTTTTAAAAATTAAAATTGTTCTCATCAAACTACTATTTCATGAAACACACACACTTGCACACACACACTTGCGCACACACACACACACACACATACACACACACTTAAAAGTAAAGATGGCCCATGAAATAACATTCTTTAGGTCACACAGTGGGCCTCTTTAAGACCTGAATAGACATATTCAGCTATTAGAAATAAAAACACACGGGATAGAAAAGTACAACTGCTAAAGTACAATCTCTGCAAGTTGAGAAAAACAGAACTAAGTATAAACTTTTAAAATAATTCCTGTGATGCACGTCAGAGACCCAAGTCACAGCTGTTCTTGAGCATCCATGATGCTGGGAACCGGGGGTGAGCCCATCGGGCATTCAGGTGGGCTGTCGGCACATAGCTGGAAGCAGGCACGGCGCTCGGGAGCTGTCTGGAGACACGGATGTGGGGGTCCTCAGCGTATCGGTGGTGGTGGGAAGATCCCCTGGGAGGGAACTGGAGCAGAAGGGAGTCCAGGGCTTCGGAATGAAAGCGCTGAATGAAATCATGAGCTGAAGTAAACCTCTCCTCCTTTAACTTCTTGGTGTTGGGTATTGCATCCCAGCCAAGGATGAGGAAAGCAACTAAGATACTTGGGGATGGTGCCAGCAAGGGAGAACAGCAGGTCAAGAAGACATGAGTCCCCTGTCAGGAAAAAGGGGCTGCCATCATGCCAACCTGCTGACCATCCCACCTCAGCTCAACAGTTGTCTGACCCTTCTAGGCCTGGCCCCACGACCCTGGGAAGCTCTCCAACTACTCCAGCCTCAGACATCCACCTCCGTGGTGCTCCTCAGCCTCGACTGTCCCTACCTCAGCACTAGGCCTTGTGTTGTTATCTTGGGGGATCCCCCAAAAGGCAGAACAGCAGTTTGCCCCATTTGGGTCCTTGTATGTTCTGGTTCAGAGCACTCCTAGCCACTAACTAAATAGATCTTGTGTGATGGATGGACTTCAATAAGTCAATTCTATTGCTGGAACGGAGGTCAAGGAAATGAGGACAGAGGTTGCCAGAGACAGGATGTGTATCTATGAGGATGCTGGACCCACACAGCACCTCTCCTTTCGTCCCTGGCTGAGTGACTTATGGCTAGCTGGTCTCAACAGGGACACATCTGGAAAACATGGTGGAGTAAAACTAGCAAGTCGCAGATACATACTAAACAGACTGGAGTTGTCATGAGCACCAGCTATGGAATGTTTCAGGTCCTCTCAAGCACAGGTAGGACTGTACCTCTGGAAAGGACTTGGAGGAGGCCCTAGGACTCACTCTAGTGGTGGAGAGGGGCAGAAGCCCCCAGGCAGGAGCTTTAGGAGCCAGCACACAGCGGACCAATCTTCTCTTCGTTCTTTCTTGGCCCACGCTGGTCTGGACCCCTCAGCGGACCCAGTGAAGACCCTTCTCCAACTGTACAGGAGTGAAAAATACATGTTCACTGCGTCACCAAGGAAAAGAGGAACTGAGTCTGAGGCGAAGCCTGACATGACTGCAGACGGTGGGGCTGTAAGGTGTGTTCAGTGTTCTGGGACATGGGGACGCTTGGTCACCTGAGTGGGACAGGTGATTGCATGGTTTGTTGAACAGATGGTCAGTATCCTGGTTCCATCCAAGAAATGCCAGAAGTGCCCCCAGTACGTGACAGCTAAACACAGCTTCCTTTCTTCCTGATGTTTGCATATATTTCTGAGGGTGAAACCAGCCCCAAGAGAGCCAAGAAGGAAGAAGAATCACCAGCAGCGAGGGTGGGAAGCACAGCAGGCCCCTGAGTGGGACAGCTGTCCGGAGGACAGAGGTCCTCAGGGGCAATGCCACATACACCTCTATGTGCCCAAGTCAGGCATGACAAACTAAAGGAGTGAGGGTCATAATTCCCACAGCCGACGGAGCAGAGTGAGGGTCTCCAGCCAGAGACAAGGGCACCAACATCTCGCTGAGTTCCTGCGGATTTCCACAGGCCTCACAGGGCCCTCTGACCATCCCACGGCACTTCACTACCCGCTTCACAGATGAAGACGCTGAGCGGCGGGGGGTGGGCTGAGGTCGGACAGAGGCAGGTGGGACCTTCAAAAGAGAGGGTGACTGTGAAACACCAGGTGGGACTGAGTGACAGCGCCCACACGGGACATGGAGGATGGGGACCACTGCCCAGGAGGGAAGAAGAAGAGAGGGAAAGGGACTCAGGTGTGAAAGCAGAGATGTCCAGTGGGCATCTGGGCAGGGAGAGGCTCCTGCCAGTTGCCTGTTCAGAGCCTCAACCTTCCCCAGTGACACGGGCCGCAGGAGGCAGTCTCTGGGAACCAGGCTTCTGGACTGGAGGTGCCCGTCTCTTCATGTAGTCACAGATGCCTCGAGAGGGAGGCCAGCTCTGGGTTACCAGCCAACAGCATGCAGCTCCTCAGAGTCCCTGAGACAGTCCTTGACACCAGAGGGAAGAGGGCACATTACTGTGACCAGACGCATCAATCTTAGGATCCAGCCTCCACAGCCTGTGAGGACCCAGTGGCATGAAAACACAGAGACACAAGAGGGCGCTCTAAACAAACAGCAGGAGTAGAAAACAGCCGTCCCCATTGGAGACAGGATTAGCATGCTGAAACACCCTCGTTCCAGTGTTCCTCCACGGAGCCACTCCTGGTACTTTGGACCGCATGATTCAGTGATACCTGCTGTCCCTGACTCCATCCCCATCACTGATAACTGACCCCCCACTCCAGCCCCTCAGTGCCATCAGCCGATACCACCAGACAATGCCAACTGGTGGCCTTGAGGGGTATAGCAGTCTCTGTTCTCCCTCCCAACCTTGCAGAGGACTCCGGCGCCTCCCTCTTTGACCTCGTGAGTTAGACACCTGCAAGTGCTAGGGAATCAGAGCGACAGAGCTCCCGTGTGACAGCCTGGCTTGGCTGAGGCCCGCGGAGTTTATGGTCCTCAGGGGGGTCAGCTTTCCTCCACATCATTATTCCTCAGGACTGGGTGGGACCAGGGGCAGCCCTGATCACACCAGGGACACAGACACAGAACCCTGAGACAGACAGCATGGCACCTGCCACAGACACTCAGGTCCCGGGAGCAAACACAGAACACAGCGGGCACAGAACACTCCCACAAAACATGTCTGAAGCAAGGCACTCTCCTCCAGCCCGGTGGCTTCCCAAAGTGGTGAGTTCCAAGATGTGCAGATCGCGAGGTCTCCAAAGACAAGCACCAAAGGCAAATAACCAGGGATGGTGTTCAAAATACTCTGCAGCTGTGAGCCATGGGCCCAGCTGCCAGTCAGCACGGCGAGCCATGTAAACAGTTCGTGCGTGCCACATGCTCTCGGCCCGGCCAGGGTCTCGGGGGCAGAGCCTGAGCCCCTGTGGGAAGCAGCACGGTGGCAGGGGGCTGCCTGGACAGGGGAGGGGGTGAGGCCTGCAGAACACAGACCAAAGGGAGTGGTAGGGTAGACAGCTGGGAGGCCGGGGCAAAGAACTTGGCTCAGGGGCTGAGCAAGTGCGGTGCTGGGGGAAGACCAGGGCCCTCCAGGTCTTCCACAAACACCCAGCATCACACATCCCCGTCAGTCATTCTCAAACAGAGGCAGCCTTCAAGCCTCGAGAGAGTGGCGCACCAGGGCATCTGTGGGCACAGCCCTGGCAAGAGGTGCTCACAGCCTTTGTCCACAGGCACTGCGAACTTTCATCCACAGGAAGTGGACTGGAAACCAAGTGCGAGTCTTACCCTCCTTCGAAGATTTTGATCCTCGCCGGCTCCGCTCTCTTGGAGGTGGGAGCGTCTTCTTCCGGCTTCCCTTGCTTCTCTTCTTCCTTCTCCACTCTAGCTACCTCTTTCTGGCCTTCTGGGGAAACCAGTGACGGGAGGTGCACCTGGCCCACCGCAGGGATGACAAAATCATTGCTGGTTAAATTTGTGTTCTCAGCTGGGAGGGTCCTAATGGTGGTTGCCTTCTGCAGCCCTGCTCCCCAGATCCCTCCCCCTGAGAAAGTGCTATCAGCCCACTTGACAAGATCAAGGAACAGAACCCAGAGAGGTGCTGTTTCCTCCGTGCTGGGACTCTGACCCAGTCTCTCAGGGTCGCCTCCCCTCAGGAGCTGGCTTTGGTCATGATCCTTTGCACTAGTGTGGAAACTCCTCCTTATCTTGCTCCCTTGGTCAGCCAGGCACCCAAAACAGGGCCTGCTTTAGCAAAGATGCTTAAAGATGTTGAACAAATAATCTGCACATGGTGGCACACACCTGCAATCCCAGCACTCTGAGAAGCTGAGGCAGGAGCCCAGCCTGGGAAACAATTATTTAGTCAGACTCCGTCTCAAAAATAAAAAATTTAAAAAAGGGCTGGGACTTCAGATGCAATGGAAAGACCTTAGATTCAATCCTCAGTACAAAAAAACCATTTTTTTGAACATATAATGTCTCTACTGTGTTTTTGGAGATGAACTGGTCCAATTCTCACTGATAGATTAAAATGCCAAGGTCACCCAGCATGTTAAGGGTTGAGCTGGGAGCAGAGCACAGGTCTTGTTTCCAAGACCCCAGGCAATGGCCTATGGCCCACAAGACACCCCACCCCCACCCAAGCCAGGCCCAGAAAGGCTATGAAGGCTCTGGGCTGTTGCTCTCAGGGTTCATTCTATTTGCAGAGCTGTGAACCTCAAAGAGACCTGGCTCCATGCAGATGGCTGGCATTGGCCTTGGGCTTCCTGATATCTTCCACTATATCAAGAACATGGTCTGTATGGCCTCCAGGGATGGCAGGGGTGGGCACACCTCATGGAGGATGCGGTAATACTATGTGAGAGGCAGGGACCAGTGGGGCTGAGGAGAAAAGCACCTGGGGAACCAAGAGGTCTCAGTTCCAGCACCAGATGGGCCACTGCATGCTGAGCTACCCTTGGGTGGATTACTTCACCTCTTTGTCATTTCTTCAGAATGGGAGGTGGAAAATGAAAACCAAACAAGAATCTAGATGGCTGCTGCAGCAAAAGACAGTGGGTGAAAGGCTGGGTTTCTGGAGCATGCCATTTCCCGTCCTGGCCTGCAATCCAGTTAGTCCACAGAGTGATGGGGGCTGTCACAGGCCAAAGGATAGCTTCTCCCTCATGACTTGCTCTGACATCTGGACCAAGCTGAGGAGGTCCAGCTTCTCTGGTCCAGCTTGGTCCATTGCTTGGCTGGCAAAGTACCCTTCTATTGGGAAACACAGTGTTGGAATTGATCGGGGGACCTAAGATCCATTTTGGCTTTCAATGACAACAGTAGGAGTGATTAGAGCTAAAAATGATGATGGAGTGTCAAAGTGCCAACCACTATTCTGTGTGCACTATGCACATTTTAAGTCATTTAATTTTGTTCATAGTCACATTATTACCATCCCTATTTTATAGGTGAAGAAAGCAAGGCACAGAGAGGTTGAGTAACTGATTACTAACTGTCATATAGTTAGTAGGCAGGGTAGTGGGATTCAAATGTGGGCAAATTGGACCTGGATTCTTGTTCTAAATCTACTGTGACAGTGATATGATTGTCAGAATGATTCCCAAGGAAAAAAAGGAAGGAAAAACTGAAGGAAAAGGATGTGGCTGTAAAGTGGAATCTTACACAAGCTTGGGTTTCTCCAGGGCTTATACACAGAAAAAATACCTAGGACCAAATTCAGATACAATAGGGTCACCGAGACCTGAACAAAGATGGCTAGGAAAAGCTTCAAAATGCTAAGATAAACCAAAGGACATTTACAGAACTGACAGCAAATGGAAGCCACAGATGACAACTGTCAGCTCAGTGGAACAAAGAACTTCTTAAAGCACGATCTAAAGATAGATTGTGTTGTATAGAAAGTGGTAGGCTCCTCTTGCTCCCCCCTGGAGATATGCAAGCAGAGGTCAAAGAAAGAGGTGCAACTGTACAATGGCCTCAACTTTTAGACCACGCGGTTAAATTAATGCACTAGTGTGGAGCACTTTTGGTAGATAACAGGCCTTTGAACCAAGATGAATATTCGAAGAGCTCATTTTAAGAAAGCAGCATTATAAGCAAATGTCGGCCAAATCGTTTTCCTTAAATGCCCTGCACAATTTTCATTAGGGAGTAGCGGGAGTCTAGATCATGTAAAAAGGCTTTGGAGTGAGACGTAATTTTGAATCCAACCTTTGCCACTGACTGTGTGGCCTTGTGCAAGTTATATAACATCTCTTTGGTTTCTTTATCTACAAAATGGTGATACTGCATCCTAACTTTCAAGATCATGGTGAGGATGAAAGTAAAGTTTTACATCATGCCTTGCACACAGTACATGCCCCACTAGTTTTAAGTAGAAATATAATTACAACAGCATCTCAGCAGTAGCCACAGCTAGGAAGAGACAAGGGACAGCAAGCAAATCAGCGTGATGTTTATTGCAAAAATGGAAATCTTGTTCAGAGATGTCTGTTGATTGACAAAGACATCTAGAAAATAAATTTGGAAAATAGTTCATGAAGAATATCCAGCTGAGCTATGGACAAATGCAAGGTACAACATTCACTCAGTGATGACAGAGGAGAGAGATGTAGGAAGTTACAGATCACAGTCTTGATCACTGACCTACGGTGTGAGTTCAGTTAGGGGATTTATGCTTGATTTAGTCAAAGCATCTTGTTGGGAGGCACGCTAGTGAACATCTTCAAATTTGCAATCACCTTTCAAGATTCTCTTTCTTCAAATAATTAGAAGGAAAAATAGACTCTTTGGAGTCAGGTAGATCTGGGCTCAAATTCCAGGTTTGCAAACATTTGCCATTGTCCAAAGAGGGTTGCCCCCACCGAGTGTGAAGAAAGAAGATTCCAAGGAACAACTGGACCTCCATCCCCTGGCACTCTTTCAGCCTCTGGCCCTTAGTTCCCCACCTACAGAATTTAGAATGTAATGCCACCTCACAGGAGGAAGTGAGCATGGATTGGATTTGAGGCCCAGCACAGTGCCTGGCACAGGAAGGCTGCTAACAAACAAGACCCATTGCCATTCTGCAAATGCCAGGTCAGCACAACACATCATGGCCTGAAGCCTCAACGTATGGAGGTGTCTTCTGTCTAATATAAATCTAGAATAATTGAATTTCAATCTTATTGAACTTACAAGGGACCAATTCATTTAATAACTCCTCATATAGCCAGGAATAAATATGAGCCCTTAGTGAGGGCCTAGCACTACTACAGAGCACAGATGGGTCCAACAGAGAGTGACATTGGCCTCCACAGGTAAAGAAAAACACTGAAGCTTAAACTTTATTTGTCATCCTGCTCACAGAAAAGAAAGGAGGGGCATTTCTGGAGTGGCTGTGTCAAATGCTAGAATGTCTGGAAATGGGAAGATATTAAATGGCACTTGAGAATGTAAATAGCATATATAGGGGATTTAACAAAGCAGGAAAAGACTAATAAGATTAGGGAGAGTCATATGATAAAGCATAGATAGAAAGTTCTACAGTTGCTATAGGCAGTCCCATCAACCAGGTTTTCCAACTCTGTCTTTTAGAGAATCATTTTTTCTCCTTGCTGAGATTGTATCTCTAATTTTACATGGAAGCTCATATAAAAAGCCGGATCACTTCATAGCTAACTTTATAGAGGTGTATCTATTTCAATAATATGAGGGGCACACTCATAAAGAAACTCAATAAACATATTTCCTTGTAATGCGACCAGCCACAGCTGCCTCCCTGGAAGACAGTGTGGCTTTAAAAGCTCAGCAAAAACTTTTGCTAACTGGTAGTGAGAAGAAAAACAAGGTTGAACTTACCTCTGTCATGCGGGGCTTGTGGGAGCTCGATGGCACAAGCCTTCCTGTGTCAGGATGTGGAGCTGTAGCCATGGTGTATGTCTCTTTGCTCACCTTCTGCTTAGACCTCAGGAGGGACAAAGCAGCTTTAGTGGAAACCCCTGGAAGGTTGGGGTTGTACAAACTTATGCACCAACCAGCGTAAACAGAGGACCTCCTATCTGCATGCTGGATGTGATTTGGCTTAATGTAGTTTAAATAGCACCAACTGACATTAGTGGTCGTGTGGAGGCTGGGGAACTGCAGTACCTTCTTTGAGTCCGTACCTTCTTGCAATTTGGCTGGTCTGGGGGACAGAGGCAGAGAGCTGGGAGGTGCCAGGGAAGGGAGGTCTAGTTGTTCCTTGGAATCTTCTTTCTTTACACTCAGTGGGGGCAATCCTCTTCGATGAGGTTTGCCAGATGGCTGGGTGCATTCCTTCAAAGCTTCTGAGCCTGGGGCTGTCCCATGGGGCAATGTGGGGTGAGGGACGGAAGGAATCTCCTTTGGGTCAGTTGGATTCAAGGACAGGCTGGATGGTGCTTCCAGGTCCCTCCTGCCTTGGCCCTGGCTTCCCAGGTGGGATTTCTCTGTCCTCTTCCCATCCTCCATGCTGGTCAGCACTACACTGCAAGGTTTCACCAGCTCAAGTTTGTCATCTGCCTGGGAGGCCTCCTCCTCCTTCACCCTTTTTTGCTGCTGGGTTTCCATAGTAAGTTCAAGGCTGCCAGCTGGTGAAAGGACTCGCTTGCTTCCTCCTGCAGTCGATGAACTTCCCTCCAGGCTTGAGACACCCTCTGATGACAGGGACATACCTTTCCTTTCAGGCAATGTCACAGGCACTCTCAGGTACGGAGTCTGGAAACCTCTGCTTTGCTCTTCACTTAACCCAGACGGTCCAGGCCCAGCTTCATACATATCTGCCCCACACACAGTCAACCCCTTGGATGGGGGCTCCTCACCCTTGGGAAGGGGTGCACTGGCTGAACTGCCGTGGGACTGTGTGACCAAGATCTGAGAAAGGGTGGTGTACATTGCACTCCCATAGGATGGCATGTTGGTCTGAATGCGGACAGGCACAACCAGGGACTCCACGGTGTCTGGACAGGCGGGCAAGGCCAGCGGAGGGGCTGATGTGGGTGCTGAGGAGCTGGCTGGAGGAGCTGTGGGGGGCAGCTGCATGTTGCTGCTGTGCCCTGTGCTGCAGGAGGGGCCGGGAGATCCTGTTGCCAGTGGGGCCAGGCTGGTTTTGACTGGGGGCAGACGGTTTTCCACATCACTAGGGAGCTGCAGTGCAAACTGGGATTGCAGAGGCAGGAAGAAGCCAGAAGAGAGTGCTGAGGAGGCAGGGTATGGCATAGGAAGAAAGGAAGGGGGTTGCCGGAAGGGGATATTGGCTGGGTGAGGCAGCAGCTGGGGCAGAGGAAGCTGGCCTGGGTGCAGAACAGTGGGTTGGAGAGGCAGTGGTGGGGCCTGGAATAAGGAGGGAGGGAGCGGGGGTAGGGAGTACGGGGAGGAGAGGAGGCCAGACACGGCCTGTGTGGAGAAGAATTCTGAAGACTGTCCTGGCTCGTGCTGCAAGAGGTGCTGGAAAGAGAAGAGGGAAACAGGTGGGGGCAGGTATGGTTTGTCCTGCAGGGGCAGCTGGGTGACAGGGTGGTGGAGCACCTGCAGAGCTTCCGTGTAGGGTGGAGTGGACCCCAGCGGGGGCCTGTCTTGCACCTGGCTCTTGCTTCCCAGGTGCCCGCTGTGCAAGGTGGCTGCTGAGGAGATCCTGGGCAACAAGCTTTTGGTGGAAGGTTTGCTGGATGAAGGCTGTAGCTCCTCCGTGTCCTGTCTTCCCTTGGGGCTGGCCTCTGGCTCGGTTTCTGGAGGCCTGCTCAGAGAGGCCTGTCTCACCAAAAAGCATTTTCTTCTCTCTGGCAGGGCCACTGGGGCCAGGGGAGCTGCAGGGGCTGGGGCAGAAGGGCCTGTCAAGGACAAGCTGCCATAGTCGAAAGATTTGCTGCGTGTCTCAGTCATGTGGGCAGAATGGGAAATGTTGGGGCTCTGCTCTGATGCTGACCTCCGCATCTCCCGAGCGTGCGGGTGGTGGCTGGGGACAGTCAGCATGTGGGTGCCCAAAGGTTTGGAGCGTATGTCTGAAGAGGGCCTGGCAGTCTCCACTTTCCCATGCTCATCCCTGTCGAATGAGGCTGAGCGGCTGGACCCACTCAGAGAAACACTGCTTTCCTGGCTCGGGCTGCGAGATAGCGGCACAGACGACTCGAAACTGGACTCTCCCGAGGACTGGGCCATCTCTGCCAGGCGCAGCCTCTTCTTCTTGGGTGGCAGCTTCTCAGCAGGGAGTTGAGCAAGTGTCTGGCTGCGCTGGGGCCACTGGAACTCCTCTGTCTTCTCCGGTTCCTTTGGGGGTGGCTCAGGCTCTGTGTCAGGACGATCGGGCTCCTCAGTCACCAGGATCTCCGGGACCTGGATGTTGGGTTGGCGGACCAACCTGGGCTGCAGGGAGTGAGCTGAGCGTCCTTGCGGGGCAGATGGTGGGGATGAAAACTGGGCCAGAGTCTTGTCTTCCCCTTCCAGGCCACTGGGCTGCTCGAGAGGGTCAGATTTCTCAAAGGAGCTGGTGTGCTGGATGACAGAAATTTCTTTGGACGTTGTTCTCCTCTCCTTCCCTGATTCTGCCCCGGATCCTGGCTTGGGAGTCCTTGGCTGGAAGCCCGTGGGTCCCTCCAAGGAGGGCGCTGATTTACCTGGTTCTGCTGGTGACTTGGTGGACTCTAGAGGAAGGTTCCGAGCAATGTCAGACGGCCCAGGGCTGCCAAACTGACTTTTTGTTGACTCAAAAGCAGGTGGCTCCTCCTCATCCCCAAGGCTCTTCTCTTTTCTTCTCTTCCTCAGTGGAGTGAGCTCCAAGGTGGTCCCCAGTTTATAATGCATCATCTGGGACCACGGCTCATGCTCTGCCTGACTCTTCTCAGCCTCAGGAGTTGCATGGGTACCTACAGAGAGGGGCTTTGCAATCTGGAGCTCTGAGCAGTAGTACTTTTTATGGGCTTCGTAATTATCCCTTTTCTTGTACCGAGCACCACAGATGGTACATTCATAGATCACCCCTTTCGTTTTCAACCCTTTCTTGGTCTTTTTGGTGGGTTCACTTTCCTTGGGCTCTGCATCATCAGAGGGCTTGGAGGCTGTGTCTTTGCTACTCGGTCCAGGTTCCTCGGCACAGTACTCACCTCCCAAAGGCAGTTCAATGGCTGGCTGGCGCTTCAGCATCCGGGGGTGGGAAGTAAACACTGGACTGCTGCGGCTAGGGGCTTCGGAGTCAGGGATGTGGTCATCGAAAGAGTAGCTACCACGGAAGGTGTGGTGTGGGGTGCTGATGGTGCAGGTGGCAGAAGGCATTGAGTGACTTCTCAGGAGAGGCACAGGGGGGGTGGTGCTGGGTGGGTGCTGGAGGCTCAGCAGTGATTGTTCTGGCTTTGTCTTCTCACCATGGGACGACAAGGGCTCCCGGTAGAGGCTGGATTTGGGGGACTCCATGCTGCTGCGCCTGGTCAGGGAGCTCCTCCTTGGCTTCACACTGTCAATCTCGCTGGTGTCCACCACAGCCTCATTGATGGTGATGAGCTTTGTGATGTGCTCGATCACCTGAGTCCGGGGCACAGACAAAGGCACCAGGCTGGGCTTGTCTTCAGTGGACAGGGGCAGGAGTGGCTGGGTGGAGGTGGCCGTCAGCATGGTGGTCCGCTGCCCGATCCGCCCGCATTTGCCAAAGATGATCTCTGCGTAGGACTTAGCATTGGTGTTTGGGGGGCTGACCTGCTGCTCAGCGCTCTCAGAGCGTGAGAAATACCCGGACTCAGTGCTGCCTTTGCTGCCTGGGCTCAGAAACGCCTGCTCATCAATCACCTTCTTTCGCTCACTTAGACGGAGGGCCAGCTTCTGCTTAATTGTGTGGGTGTCTTCGGGTTTATGGCTCAGGGGATGCTCGGCTGAGGGCTCTGCAAATGGAGTGGGGTCCTCGAGTGACAGTGCTGAGCTGGACTGGGACAGGGAACAGCGTTCGTGGCTGGAACCGTGGCTCCCCGAGCTGTATAAACCACTGGAAAGGAGGGGATGCTTGGGTCTTGGAGAGAGCTCTGCAGCGGGACCGGCTGTGGTGCTGGTTTCCTCTTCAGAGTCTGTGCTTTCTCCCTCAGTGGGCTCCTCAAACTCCTCCCCAGGGATCCTCTCTATTTCCAGCCCAGGGGGATACATCTCACCGCCCGCGCCAGAGGCCAGGCCAGCTTTGATACGGTGGGCATGGGACTTCCTGTGCTTGTAGAGGTTGCTCTTGGTCTTGAAGGAGAAGCCACAGGGGCCGCAGGGGTAGGGCCTCTCACCAGTGTGTGAGCGGATGTGCTTCTGGAGCACACTGGGCTTGGCGCAGGGCCGGCTGCAGTACTGGCAGATGTACTTGCCAGGCTTCTGGGGTTTCCGTTCCTTCTTGTGTGCCTCTTCTGTAGGCTTTAGGGAGACCTGGGAGGGACGGGGCACAAAGACCTTGGGGATGCCAGGCAGGTCCTCTGGAGGAAGGATGGAGGTGTGGGAAGGGAGGAGCTGGCTCTGTGGGTGGAGCCCAGGGGCCACAAAGGAGCCAGAGGGTCCAGGTCTCATGGGGTCAACCAGCTGCCACGTGGACCCCTCCAGGAGATGCTCAGGTTTTCCAGGTGACATGAATGCTGGTGTCAGAGGGTGCTGTGGAAGTTGTGAGATGTGGACGGAGGCTTCGATGGGAGGCCTCTTGGGGGGCTTCTGCTGCTGGCCCGTTTTCTCCTGAGAGCCTTCCCTAAGAACGGACGAGGGGCCCGGGAAGGGCTGCGGGGCTAGGAGCTCCTGAGGGGTGCTCTCCTGGGTGGCAGCTGTGCTGCTGCCTGGGAATGGGACGCTGGAAGAAACACTGGTCTGAATGGCCTCGCCTTTGGTCAGCCGCTTCCGGGGACTTCCCTCTGCCTTCTTGATCCCCTTGACACTTTGTTCAGGATCCATGACCTTCAGAGAGACTTCAGATGCTACTCAGGGAGGTTTGGGGCAGGCTGCATTTACAAATAATCTTCGTGTCCCCGGGACGTGTCCGGCTTTGGCCACATTGGTCAAGAGGTGTGGAAGCCAAGGCCAAGACGGCTTTGGGAGTTTTTTGCAAGTGTCACTGGCTGCAAGTAGACTCAGAGCAGGTCATCAGAGCTTGAGCTATTCATATTAGCGAGGCATGGCCCTCTACTCTGCAGACACAAGGCACACCAGCCTTTCCCGCTGGGATGTCTGCCATGAAAACGTCATGGAGGATGTCAGTATTGCCATTGTACTGCTTCAGTTGGCAGTGGCAAGTGGCCCCCACGAGTCCCCTGTGTGCTATGCGAAAAGCCGAAAGTTGGAGACCTCTGTGTCCATGGCCCGGTCATCCCTGGTCCTGGCCCAAGAGATATTACACTGGATCCAGGGGTGGCTTGGTCCCAGCCTCTTCTTCCCTGTAGTCTTGTGCTGGAGATCAATGGCCTCGGAGGAGAAATCACGCTCTTCTATGGGGCAAAAGTGCACACAAAGAAATACACATGGAGGAGAAGAGAGAGTTATTGTGACATGTCCAGAGCCCAGGCAGCTCCTACTCAATGTTAAAGTCAGTGGAGACCTCTAAAAGGTTAACCAGAGAAACTTAACCAGACCCACTTTCCCTAACTCCACTGACCAAGTGCTGCCCACCCCTCCCTCATGGCCTCTGTATCAAAAGTCCATGTGTTTCTGACACTTGGCTGAGTGGGGTGTTGGTGGCAGCAGGCAGGGCAGGCTCTGGGAACTGCAGGGCTGTCAGGTGGAGGCTTGGGTTCTCACCCCTGCTGTAGGGTCCACTCCAAGTGAGTTTGAGCACTGCAAGCCTCCGCTGCCTAATCTATAAACCTGATAAGAGCAATTCCTTCCTCAACTGCAGCTTGTGGGTATGATGGGGTCTGACAAGAGAATGCGGTCGGATGGACTGTGGGTGGTGCTGGGCCGGTGTGAGGACACACACACAGCTTAGTCAGAGGGTTTTCCCAAGCACAGACTCTCTCTCTCTGTCTGGCCCTGGATATGAAAGTGTCCTCTGGGGAGCCTCATTCATCACTTTTTATCCTGTTACAAGGTCACTCCCCATCCCACCCCTCAGCCTGCTTTCAAGGCAAAGCTGTAAGCTCCCGCCACAGCCCATGGGGACTCACACGCTAACACAGACGTGGCTACCTGATTGATTCTCACGAGCATCAGGAAGACCATCTGCAAGGTTCCTCCAGCTTCACAGCCTTTTTTTGGTCTAGCCAGTGCCCCAGGGAGGCCCTGGAAGTAGCTTAGAATGGGGTCCATGCCAAATGGAGGGACACAAGGACAATGCTGTTCTGAGGGGAGCCCCAAGTATGTGCACTTTCCCAGGGCAGCCCGAAGTCAGAGAGTCTAGCCTTCCTGGGCTCTAAGTGCATCCTCAGGGGCCTTACACCAGTGGACTGGAATTTCAAAGCTGGGGGCACTGTGACTCCATCTCCTCCCACCACCTCATCTGCCAGGTGAGAACGCAGAGGACACAGAAGGGCAGTGGCCTACCTAAGACCCCAGGTTTTAAAGCAGCCTGAACCCAGGCCTCCGCAGCAGGGTTGGTCCTCTAGCCCCTACGCTGGTGTCTGTTTCCTGGGCAAAGCCCTGGGCGAGCAGCAGGTGCTTCTGTTCTTCCTCTGTATGCATGTCCTGCCCTGGAACCCTGACCCCAGGCTCCCTTGGTGCCCTCACCTTGCTTTTCATCAGGAGTTTGCTGACACAGACTTGCCAAGTTTGCCTGCTGCACTTTCCAAGCACGCTCAGAAGACTAATGAGTGTGCAAGGCTCAAATCACTGTCTCAAATGGAGGACCTCAGACCCTGTGACATGCAATGGAGGAGCAGATGATTCAGTCTAGCTAAAAATTATATATGTTGACAACTTCTGCATCTTTTTTGTTTCTATCTTGCTTCTACAAAAAGTTAAAACTTTAAGAAAATCATATTTATGGAAGAATGACCACATATAAATATTATAAAATTATAAATAAAAGTAACAAATCATAACAATGCAAATGTAAATTGGACAGGAAGTTAAGATACAAACAACACTACAATACCAATCAGCCTACAGCATTTCTGTAGTTCAGCCACACATTTATATAAGAGCTTCCTGGGAGCCAAGAAGAAAAAAGGAGATGTGGTGCATTGTAGAGTAACATAGCCAGAGAGGAATAAAGTTCCTTGCAGGGGCAGGAATGATGCGGAGAGAATCTATGTCTTCAATGGTATCCTGTTAGCAAATGCGCTGATTGATTTTTCTCAGTGGAAGACCACGACTCAGCAAAAGCTATTCTTAAAGAAGTCAAATCTCTCTTTGGACTTAAGCAGAGAAGGCACCCTCCCAAAGCAAGCCAAGTATGGAGAAGGCAGGGAAATCTCATGGCAGTGTACCACAGTCAGCAGTGTAGCTATATACAACATCAGCCAAACAAGGACACTTCTGAGGTGAAAGGGGCCCTACTAATAATTATGGAGGAACCGCAGGAATCAACTCAGCCTTTCCCAGACAAACCAGGACAGATGGTTACCCCAGATACCCTGTGATGGAAACCAGACATGGGTGCTGTCTCTGGGCATCTGGTAGCAACTCTGGACCTTTGCTATGGGGCTGAAATTGCACCATGGATTCCTAGAGACGACTGTCCAGCCCCATCCCTTCACCTGACAGATGAGGAGCCTGAGGGCTGGAAAGATGGTAGGATTTGCCCTCATAACCACCTGGCAGTGGTGACAGAGTGGGGCCACCCTGTGCCGCTAGAGGCCACAGCAGGTTGGTCTCCTGCCCCTATCAACAGTATTCTCTGTGGCTCTGCGCAGTTGGGTCCTGCAACCACGGGTCCCTCTCTAGGGAATCACGAGTACAGCCCAGGGACATTGCTGTGTCCACAGTGAGGAGACTCAGGGACTGTCTAGAGTCTGAGTGGCAGCACCGGCCTTTCAGCTTGTGTTCTAATCTTGCTGTGACTGCTGGGTGGGAGAGATGGGGAGCCTGCTAAGGTGCTACTGCCCCACCTCACTTATCCAAACCATGGTGTGTGGGAGGGCTGAACCACCCCAATCCAGACGGGGTGGGCACAGTGTGTGGCAAGCAGAGAGCTGAGTTCTGGGCTGGTTGGGCCTCGGGCCTGGCTGCGCCTGTGGAGTGTGCAGAGAGGCCTTTGGGTGTGTGTTGGGTAACAAAGGCTGACTGTGCTTACTGTTTGTATTGACTTTCTCAGGAAAGACTCTCAAAGCACTCCCTAACACTAGCTCATCGTTAAGTGTGGCTTCTTCCGGTGGAAGGGTGGGCCCTGTGGCATGACTTGGTGGTGAGATGGTCTGAGTGGAGCCAGCTGGCCAAGGAGGACCATACATTGTATGGTCTTGAGGTTCTTCCTTTGCAGAGCCACAAGTTCCCCAGGGCCAAGTGGGAAATGCCTAGGGGCTGGGGCTCAGGGCAATTCCCAGGGCCAGGCAGGCAGGGTGGGGTGCAAGAGGGAGATAGTCAGGTGACTGTTGTGTCATTAAGTGACTCTCTGGTTCCAAGTTGCCTGCCTGGAGTCAGTGTCCAACCTACACCTCTGAGCTGGGCCTGGTGTTTCTCCAGGGAGGAGCCACACGACCCATCAGCGTTGTCAACCACCAAAGCATAACAGCCTGTGAGCCTGAGGCCAGACTTCTGTTCTGCACACAGCATGTGGGGATGACCAGCTGATCACTGGGCCAGTGCTCTGTGCCACCCTGCTCTGTCATGGTAGCCTGACAGGTGGCAGGTGCTTGAATCAAAGGGCCCCAGGTGGGGACAGCTGGTACCATGGATGCGGATGCCGAAGAACCCAAACCTAAGGCCTCAGTCTTGGACAACATTAGGATTTAGGTGCATCACAAATAGGTGTTGAGGGGCTGGGGATTTAGCTCAGCGGCAAAGCGCCTGCCTGGCAAGCGCAAGGTTGTGAATTCGGTTCCCGGTACCAGTGAAAAAACCAAAAAAAAAAAAAAAAAAGAAATCAAAACAAATAGGTGTTGAGTTGTCTGTTGTTTCAGCTCCTTCAGGAGGACTATACTCGCTAATGGGACTGCGCCACTAAGAATATGGCTCTTTCCTACTTTCTGAGGTTATGTGTAAAATTTTAATATAAGCCCAAAGTGATAGAAAAATCTCTCCTCCAGGGAATTACTGAGGGCACCTATAAAAATCACCAGAGAAATGAAATCAGAGCTTTGGGATTTCCCTTTTAGATCACAGGGACCTGAACCCCAAACCTTTAGAGAAAGGACAGACGTCCTTTGCTGGTGATTGTAGAATGGCCACAGGGACCCTACTGCCTGTCACTGAGGCCACAGCCCCCAAACAACTCTAGTCAGCAATCATCACCCCCCACTGGTTAATATATCAGACTATTTAGCTTGCCTTTCTAGAAGCTTCCATAGGTCTGGTCACTGGAACAGCCCAACAGGGAAGAGAGCAGGGCTTGCTGGAGCTAGAGCCACAAAAGCCTTGGGGCACTGGTGAGTGGTGGAGGAGCCAACAGGTTCCAGGCAAGGTGGCCCGAAGCCAAAGGCCTGAAGCACCTTCCCATCCGTGGGTGGGAGCACATGGCCAGTGTGCACGGTGGGTATCCTTTACCTGGGGAGATGGGAGTCCTGATAGGAGGTCAGCTGGAATGTGCTTCAGGCTCTGGTTAAAGCGTGGGCCATGAGCCCAGTGAGTCAAGGCTGAGGCTGCTGGGTGAGAGGCACAGCACATGCAAAGCACAGAAGGCTAGAATGAGACGACGGGGCTCCGGCACCCAGACGGTCCAGGTGGGAGCCCCACACTGTGCTGGCGATTCAGGGCTCTGAGAGGTGCTTCCACACATTCCTTCCTGTGCCCCAGATTGCCAAGGCTCAGCTGTGCCAAGAAGACCCTCTAACACAGCTGTGGTCACGACTAACCCTCGGGAAGCGGGGAGAGGCACAACTGTGCCCCATGGGGCGGTCAGGGGCAGGTTGCTGGGCTGAGCCAGTGTGGGCTACTGGCCTCGCCCACACTTGGCGTGGATTTATTCATGGAAAACAGACTCAACCCAGGCTCCTAGGGTCTAGGCTGGAAGGAAAAATTTCCCTTTTAATATAGTAAGCCAAATAGCACTACTTCCCTGAGAAGCCTGGGTCTCTTATTTAGGTTGAGCCTGACCTGTATCACAGGGGGTTCATCAGCGTGTTCCTAGTGAACTTCTCCCCCATACCCAGCAGGGACCACAGCTTACTCAACTTCACGTTCCTGAAAAGATGCCTGATATAGTAAAATATAAAAGTATTTTTAAATCCCTAAACTGAGAGCCTACCATAAATCCACGTTAGCGTATTGTTTCTCACATTCGCTCTTGTTTTATAAACGCGGGCCTAAAGTTTGTTGCTGCAGATCAGACAGGAAGGGCAAAGGAGGATTTGAACCCAAGTGCAGGCCATGACTAGGAAACCCAGTGAGCCCTGCT